TTTCTTAAGTTTTTAACTTTGGTTTTGTTAAGATTTATTCATTTGTATTTATGTTATGTGTATTTACTACTATTAGTGCTAATTAGTCAAAAAATAATATTAAACTTTTCTGAATTATATAATATTGGGAGAAAGGGCATCGAATGCATCCATTGCAGGAGATGTTGAAATTTATATAAAATGACAATCTATTCTCAAATTCCGTATAATCAACGGCCCAAATTGCATGTTTGACAATATAACAAACAAGTCACTATTTATTGAAAAATATAATAAATTTTCTCATAAAAAATAATTTTTATGAAATGTTGTAATGATGAAGAACTAATCCAACGGTGCACAAGCGTTCACGAAATTGATGGGTGACCTAGTCGATCAGAGCCCCAGGAGCTGGGTTAGAATAGAATACGAAGAGCCTACCCACCCTTCTCAAGCTCCCGTCCCTCCTTCGTTTCATCATCACTCTCATTATATTCCTTGTTATTTTATTCATATTTTTTCAGTAATTTCCTTCAATTCAATCAATTTGAATACAAAGCCCTCCCAATCCCCACTCAAATTGAACCAGAGTCCAGGGTTTCTCTGTTATTGTGAAAACCCTAAGAAAAGCTCCCATTTTTGTCTCTCACTCCATTGGTCAAGCTAAAGGTTGCACTTTGCTGAAGATCCACAGGAGCCCACTTTCTCAAGGGGATGAGACCATGAGAGACTTAATGAAAATCTGTCTCCTTGAGGGTCAGTATTTTCCTTTACATTTTAGCTTTTTGCATATTTATGAGAATTTACTTTGTATTTCCACTCTTTCCCGCTAAGACTGTAGAGGGACTGAGACTGATGATAACATATTTATATGTCTATTAATGTATATATATAATACAATGTTATATTTATACAGAAAACAAACTTGTCAGGCATGGGGATTGAGAGAATTCACTTGAGATTGATCTGAAACTATTTCAAAGTTTGACATGGATAACGAGGTGATTGAATTTGATATTGGGTTGGGAGGAGGGGGAGGTCGAGACGGCGATGATGATTTTGTAGACATTGAGCACCCTGTTGATGATGAGGAAATGGTTGATAGTCCTCTTATGAGCAGTGCCACTGGAAGTGCCAGTGGTATTGTTGTTTTTGGTGGTGGAGGGAGTGGTGAAATTTACCTTCCTGAAGGGGACCTCTTGGACCTTGAGCCTTATGACGGCATGGAATTTGAGTCCGAAGAGGCTGCCAAGGCCTTTTACAATTCGTATGCTCGGCGTGTTGGGTTTAGTACTCGTGTCAGCTCCTCACGTCGTTCCAGGCGTGATGGAGCAATCATACAGAGGCAATTTGTTTGTGCTAAAGAGGGTTTCCGGAATTTGAATGAGAAGCGCACCAAGGATAGGGAGATCAAGCGCCCACGTACTATCACCAGAGTAGGATGCAAAGCATCCTTGTCTGTAAAGATGCAAGATTCAGGGAAGTGGGTTGTGTCTGGTTTTGTTAAAGAGCATAATCATGAGTTGGTTCCGCCTGATCAGGTGCATTGTCTTCGTTCTCACAGGCAAATATCAGGTCCTGCTAAGACCTTGATTGATACCCTGCAGGCAGCTGGCATGGGTCCCAGGAGGATTATGTCAGCACTGATTAAGGAATATGGTGGGATAAGCAAAGTCGGATTTACAGAGGTGGACTGTAGGAATTACATGAGGAATAATCGCCAGAGAAGCTTAGATGGGGACATTCAGATGCTTTTGGATTACTTGAGACAAATGCAAGCTGATAACCAAAATTTTTTCTATGCTGTGCAGGGGGATGAGGATCAGTCCATGGGCAATGTAATCTGGGCTGATCCAAAGGCAAGGATGAACTATAGTTACTTTGGTGATACTGTTACCTTTGACACTACGTACAGGTCAAACAGGTACCGTTTGCCCTTTGCACCTTTCACAGGGGTAAACCATCATGGACAGCCTGTGTTATTTGGTTGTGCCTTTCTGATAAATGAATCTGAAGCATCATTTGTTTGGCTGTTTAAGACATGGCTTATGGCAATGTCAGGCCGCCATCCAGTGTCGATTACCACTGATCATGATGCTGTGATACAGTCAGCCATCATGCAGGTTTTCCCACAGACCCGCCACCGTTTTTGCAAATGGCACATCTTCAAAAAATGCCAGGAGAAGTTATCCCATGTTTTTCTTAAACATCCAACTTTTGAAGCAGATTTTCACAAGTGTGTTAATTTGACTGAGTCGATAGATGAATTTGAGTCTTGCTGGTTGTCTCTTGTTGACAGATATGATCTCAGGGATCACGAATGGCTTCAAACAGTATACTCTGCTCGCAGGCAATGGGTCCCTGTCTATCTGCGTGACACTTTTTTTGCAGAAATGTCCATAACTCAGAGAAGTGACAGCATGAACTCATATTTTGATGGATATGTGAATGCTTCAACAAATCTGAGCCAGTTCTTTAAGCTCTACGAGAAAGCTCTTGAGAGTCGCAACGAGAAGGAAGTGAAAGCGGATTTTGAAACTATGAACACTGCCCCAGTTTTGAAGACCCCATCTCCAATGGAAAAGCAAGCATCTGAGCTTTATACAAAAAAAATATTTATGAGGTTTCAAGAGGAGCTAGTTGGGACACTAACTTTCACAGCATCTAAAGGTGATGATGATGGGGAGATCATCACATATCAAGTAGCAAAGTTTGGGGAGGACCATAAAACATATTATGTTAAGCTTAATGTTTTGGAGATGATGGCAACTTGTAGTTGCCAGATGTTTGAGTTCTCAGGTCTTCTTTGCAGACATGTATTGGCGGTCTTTAGAGTGACCAATGTGCTAACTCTCCCATCCCATTACATATTGAAACGATGGACAAGAAATGCCAAGAGCAGTGTCATGTTAGAAGAACGTTCTAGTGATGTATATACCAATTATCTAGAATCTCATACTGTTCGATACAATACCTTACGTCATGAGGCCTTTAAATTTGTAGATGGAGCAAAGTCTTCAGAAACCTATGACATTGCACTGGATGCTCTGAAAGAGGCTACCAAAAAAGTAGCTCATGCAACAAAGAATGACGGGAAAACCATGGTCAACGGGCATGTCAGGGGCAACTTGGCTGGTGGAGCAGGTCGGATACATTATGCTAGTGGGGATCATGAGGGGAGTTCGGGCCAACACTTGTCTGAGGTCAGAGCTATTTCCCAAGTTATCATTTGATTACTTGTCTCCTTAGCCTTGGTATTTTTCTCATTTTTGGCTTTGGGATGGAGTACTCTGTGTTTATGCAATGTGTGTTTGCCTATGTTTGCCTCATAATTTGACTGATGGGATACCACTTGGGCTTTTTGCATCTGTTCAAGCCTGCTGTAACTTTTCTGTTATGGGTATTATTGTGCAGGATGATATGGACAAAAAAATTCGAGAACTTACGAATGAGCTGCAGTGTGCAAATCGGAAGTGTGAAGTTTATCGGGCTAACCTGCTTTCAGTTTTGAAAGATATAGAGGATCATAAGTTACAGCTGTCAATTAAAGTGCAAAACATTAAGATTGGCATGAAAGATGGCCTATAAAGGTGCAATACAGTCACACATGTATTTATCTTTTATTTTAATTGCTTTTTAGTCAGTGTACTTTCACCTTGCTCTATGGAAAGGTATTTCTTCACTTATGGGTGGCGTAGAAATTTGAAATATGTGAGAGTTGGGTTGTGTTTCCAGTGTTTTCAGTTTTCTTAGATGTATATTTATAGTTGCTGGATCCAAACTCTATGCAGATAGTTGGCCTTGTGTCTGATATACCGAAAGGTATTATCTTAGTTTCCATATAATAAGATGAATTGGAATGAAAAGTAAACTCTCACTGATGTGGGAAATTTGCAGGGTCCATGTTTTGGACCATGGATGGATCTTGGTTGCCGATTTGACTCGCCAGAGGCTTGATATCTCACGTGTAAATTATTTTCTGGCCGATTTGTCATACTTACCTCCTTTTCTTTTAATTATTGGTTATGTTATTTTGAACCGCTTTATGTTGTTTCTAACATTGTATGGGTCTCCTAGTGTGCAACGGTAACCTTGCAGGAGGAGAAACATCATTGTATGAGTAGTTGCAAATGAAGACCAATATGAGAGCTGACTGCAAGGTTAATTGGGGTATGGATGTGTTTGGCAATTGAAATTCTTTGGTAGTTATTTTCTTGTCGTGTGTGTGAGGTATAATTTATTGGTTTTGTGTTCCCCTCGTGTATATCTTTCTGTTGATCAAAGCTTTTCTGGAGCTCCCTGCGTACTTCCTATTCTATCGATTGTTAGCCACCTCCTTATTCTAGCATTGAGAGTAATACACTGTGAAGTGTGACACCGAACACAGCCCAAACCGAGCTTAAGACGTTCGAGTTCGGGAAAGGCTCTCTGTATAGCTGAAATGTTATGTTCTTGTGAGCCTTTGTTGGAGTCAGTTTGTAAATGTAACATTGTTATGCATGCACTGTACAAGCTGATTTTCTCAAGTGAAGTTCAACTACGTGGCTGAAAACTCTGTTCCTTATGGTATGCTACATTTGAGGACCACCGAAAGTTGAGAGCAGGGTGATTTTACAGGTTATAAACCCTATGTTACCAACAGTAAACGTGGATCGGGTGATTGTTAGTCGTCAATTTCTGTGCAATCCGTAGTGAAAATTACTGTCAAAAGACTAACAATTGTTCACCTAAGGGACTGACATTTTCCAAAGCTTAGCATAAGAACTCATCTGGGATTTGATGCACCTAGCATGTGAGTTGCAAAGAGCATGGTATTATCTCAAGCAATGACGTCCTGGAAAAAAAAAAAAAAATCTCAAGCAATGACGTCAAATTTTATACGTTGGAAATGGACAACATCCAATGCAGCAAAGCAAACAAGTGCTTTTCATAACCGAAAATCAAAAGAACAAAATGGGAGAAATCAAAAGAAGAGTTAATTGAGATGCCTTCAAGAAACTAAAATATTATAAAAACTTTGAAAATGCAACCGAAAAAAGTGAATAATAAAAAATGAGAATTGTTTTTAGCTGAGATTATATAATGGAATTTCATTCTCTGAATTTCAAAAATCAGATTTTTGAAACCCTATTTCCTGTAAAAAAAATTCCACTCAATACCACTAAAGCTAAAAATCGGGTTTTGGTTTGAAAGTCGTTTGCTTTTCTTCGAAATAATCAAAAGGGCTTTGAGAAGCGTCTGCTTGGGTCTTTCTATCACTCTTATCACCAGAGGGAGACAGCGACCGGGCCAGTCTTTGAGTTTGACGAAGACCACTATTTCGTGTTGCAGAGCTTGTTTGCAGTTTTGGGTGAGTCTTTCTTCCTTTACCCAGTTTACATATAATTTTGGTTCAATTTAGTATGTTTTTTCCAGATTCCTTGCATTTTGATGAAACCCAGCAACTGGTTCAAATATGGAAGTATTGGGTGTGGCCGCCCAGTCAGTTGCTGGCTTTCAGCTGCCTGAAAGGCTTAAATCCCTTTCTTCTTCAATACCCAATTCTCTCTTGTTACCAAACTTACTGTTTCCTCTGTTTCTTCTCTTCTCAAGCTTCAACTTCCCTCAAGCTTCTATCTCAAACAGACTCAACTACAACAAACAAGGTATATTTCTTAACCACCCCTTTTTTGGCTTGTGCTAATTGATTAGGTTTTTGAATGAAATTTATGTGCTGTAATTTTTGTACTCCATTTCCTGAATTTCTCTCTGTGCAATATTTTGGGTTCTCATAGCTTATGGGTGTCATGTAGTAAATCTTTTTTTATTTTTTTTTATTTTTTTTTATTTTTAAAAGTTACTGTAATGTTGATGATGTTGCTTTAGGGAGGCTACAAATTTGGGAATTGTTTTCTGTGGTTTGAGGTTTGGTGACTTCTGATAAAAGCATGCTTAAGATTAGCTTAAATGGGTGTTATTCTGACAAAACAATGGTTGATTTCCTATATATCCAATTTCCAGACCATACCTCGTGCAATCACAGTTAAAAACTAGTTTGAATACTTAAAATTGTTACAAGAAAATCTGTAGCTTTATTGCATGTAGGAAGTGCCAGGAATCTGCAATAAATTTCTATTGCATGTAGGAAGGCCTTGCTGGTCTGAAAAGAATTTGCAATGTTAACAATTAGGGAAAATTTTCGCAATTAGGATGAATCTGGTCATGATGACCAGGAGGAGGAGGAGGAGCATATAATTCTAGTGAAAGTGTAGAGATGATAGCAGCATATGATGTTTTAGTTATAGTTTGAACCCTGATTTGTGTAAGTTACCTTCCGTATTTAATAATGGACTTTGGTGGAACCATTTCTTACTTTTTTCTTATTGGCTACAGTTGAATTTTGAAGTTACATGAGTGGCGTCAGACAGAGGACCCTCGGGGGTGGGGGTCAGCATGTGTTAGACTATCTGAAACGAATGCAAGCAGAAAATCCTGCTTTCTTTTATGCAATTCAGAATGATAGTGATCACTCTAGTGGAAATATATTTTGGGTGGATTCAACAGCCAGGATGAACTATACTTATTTTGGAGATGCTGTTATATTTGACACCTCGTACAGGACAAACCGTTATAGGGTACCGTTTGCCTCATTTTCTGGGCTTAATCATCATGGGCAGCCAGTGTTGTTTGGCTGTGCGTTAATTCTAAATGAGTCTGAGTCCTCATTCTTATGGCTGTTACAAACTTGGCTTCATGCAATGTCCGGTCGCCACCCTGTCTCCATCACCACTGATCCAGAGAGACACATACAAGTCGCAGTTGCGCAGGTTCTTCCTGAAACTCGCCATCGTTTCTGTAAGTGGGCCATATTTAGAGAAACACAAGAGAAACTAGATCATCTTTATCATTCCCATCCTACTTTTGAGACTGAATTTAAGAAGTGCATCAATGAGAGTGAGACAGTAGATGAGTTTGAGTCACGTTGGGAATCATTGCTTCAAAGATACTACATCATGGATAATGAATGGCTTCAATCAATGTACAATGCTAGGCAACAGTGGGTCCCAGTGTACATGAGAGACACCTTCTTTGGAGAGTTTGCAGTAAATGAGGGAAGTGAAAGTTTAAATTTGTTTTTTGACGGGTATGTGAATTCATCCACTACCATACAGGTTTTGCTTAAACAGTATGAGAAAGCTGTAGTTAGTTGGCATGAAAAGGAACTCAAAGCAGATTATGACACTACTAATACTATGCCCGTTTTGAAGACACCATCTCCTATGGAAAAACAAGCTGCAAACCTCTATACTAGGAGAATATTTAAGAAGTTCCAGGAGGAGTTGGTTGAGACCCTTGCAAATCCTGCAACAAAAGTTGATGACTCAGGAACTGTTGCCACCTATCGAGTGGCCAAATTTGGGGAAGACCACAAAGCCCATGCTGTTGATTTCAATTCTTTTGAGATGAAAGCTAGTTGTACGTGTCAAATGTTTGAATATTCAGGAATAATCTGTAGGCATGTACTAGCAGTTTTTAGGGCAAAAAATGTTCTTACACTCCCTTCTCAATACGTATTGAAACGATGGACTAGAAATGCCAAGAGTGGAGCTGTGGTGGATGAACGTGCTTCTGAATTGCCAAACAATTCTAGAGAATCTGTAACAGTTAGGTATAACAATCTACGTCAGGAAGCAATCAAATATGTAGAAGAGGGAGCAAAATCTATCCACATTTATAATGTGGCGATGAATGCTCTACAGGAGGCTGCTAAGAAAGTTGCTTCTATAAAGAACCAAGGTTCTGGAGCTACGCAGGCTAGTTCCCTGGCCAATGGAGGTAGCCAAGAAATGCATTCAACGGAAGAAAATCAAACAGCGTATCAGTCTTCGGTACGTTACTCCCACCTCTCAAGATATATGTTTAATAATATTATTGTCATCGTTGTTATTATGTTTAATATTATTCTCTCTCTCTCTCTCTCTCTCTCTCTCTCTCTCTCAGCATTAGGTCATTGGGGAAGTTTATGAATATGAAGTAGAATTATTCAAAAGTGCATTTTTTTGTCTTTCCTGTTATGAATCTGGAAAGCATGGATATAGTTTCGTAATTATTTGCTTATTTGTTACCTTAGGTGTATGTAGCTATTGAACTCTACAAACTAAGAAATAATGCATCTTTGGGTGTTCCATTGTTACAAACATGGTAATTCATGATTTCTATTTCATGTTTGTAGCCGGAGAGGGCCAGCTGTAAATTATGATGTCAGAATAAATGTAATCATCACATGGTTTATATGGTGTTTGTGCTTTCACTGTGATCATGATATAATACGCCATTCTTTTTGTTTATTGGTGCTTGTGTTTTAAGTTTGATCATGATATATGCCATTATTTTTGTTCACTCATTTATTTTCCTCAGGATGAGAAGGAAAAGAAAATCCGTGAATTGTCTGCCGAGTTGGAGAATACCAACCAACGGTGTGAAGTTTATCGAGCAAATCTGCTTGCTGTTCTACGAGACATGGAAGAGCAGAAGTTGAAGCTTTCAGTGAAAGTTCAAAGTGCAAGGCTAAGTCTGAAGGAGTGACTGCTATTTGCAGAAGAAGCCCTTCCATTATGGATTTCCTTCTCCAGACCGTACACTCAGTCATTGACATCTTTGTTTCTCCCATCCAGCGTGCCAGGGGCCTCCTGCTGGGAGAAAGTTGGGTGGGGAAGAGGAGGGGGTGTGCCTGAAGGCGGGCAATATTTGTATTTAAACCGTTTTCTCGTAACTATTGCACCGTAAACTTGTTTGTGTCGAGATCTTGTTGGAGGGACCAGGTAGGGATAAGCTGCCACTAATCCGTGGGGTGAACATCCTCCAATGTCAATAATAGGAAGTTGCATTGTTAGGGTTTAGCCTTGGTTAATAACTTGTGGTGATTATTAATTATTAACAATGGGATTTTTTGTAGTATCCTCAAACCCACTTTGAATCTGATAAATGGAGTTTGAAACTCTCTTTTTCTTTTTGTACTGTTTCGGTTAATGCCTTCCACAATCGTACAGGATCCAACAAACAAAGAAAAAAAAAAGTAAGAAAAAAAAGGGAAAGAGTAAAGAACAAAGAGAATATGTTGGAAAGAAAAAGAAAAGAACAAAGAGAATATAGAATCAAATAAAGAAAGTGAAATTCGGCAAAAACCAAATGAAGAAAGTGATATGTGGAGGGTCTGTTCACATAAAATAAGAATAATTTCCGTGTAGAACTGCCTTTAGTTGACGAGTCACAAGTGTTAACCTTGTCTGACGAGTCACAAGGCTTGGTTCACTTCACCCTGTGGAAAACTTGTTTGAAACTGACATCTGGCAGATAAGTTTGGCACTGCATAATCGTTTACCGCGACACATGATATTTACGTGTTATAATATGAGTGAATCATATGTTAATATTTTGAGACGTATTAGTATTACTAAAGGACTGCTTAACTCCTTATCTGAGAGGCGCTCTTATTTCCTGCAAATTAAAATTTGACACATATGTAAAAATAATTCATCAAAAATACACAAAAAAAATCTTTATACACATATTAAATTGTGATTAGGAAGAAAGTAGGAATTTCTACTTCCTAAGAAGAAGGCAAGTATTTAGATGTTATAAACACGTAACCGGGGTAACGCTTTTTGTCCAAAAGAAAAAAAACCGGGGGTAACGCTGAAAAAATTATCCATGGATATAGACTAGGACCCGCAAAAGAGTACAATTTGCCACTTGGCAGCTTGAGCTATACAAAGATCTTCACAAATTCCATAACTTCGGAAATCACAGTGGTCGAGACACCTGTGACAGTGGCACTGAAGACCATCTCGTTTGATCTGCTTTTTTTGCTTTGTCTTTATAACATTACGAACCTTCCAGATGAATCCATGCTGCTACTTTTACAAGCGTTGAACTCCTTTATTTATCAAAGAGATTGAGAATATAATCCAAAGCTTCCCAGAACATTCCAACTGTTGGGGTCAGAGACTCGAGATGAATTTTGGGGACATTGCTTGCCTTTGTTCTTTTGTAGTCTTTGAAGAAAGCTTTGCGTGAAACTTTAAAATTTGCGCTTGGGTGAAAGACCATGTACAAGTTGTTTTTGCACCTGAGTTCGAATTCCTCTCTTTATAGTTTAGATTAGTTTAAAGTCAATTATCGCTTGTATAAAAATTAAAAGAAACCATTTACAAGTTTCTGATTCTTCATCAAGAACAAGTTTGATTCTTAAGCTCATCAATTATAATAACATTTATATGGTTTTAAGTCAACAACCTTCAGTATTAGAAATGCTATCTTAATCCCATAAGGGAGGCAACAACAAAAAATAACATCCTTCCACGGCAATAGATTCCAAAGGCAATGAATGCTTTCTTTGATCCCTCTATATCTCAAACATTCTCACCTTAATTATTTCATCAACGTGACCAATTTTTTATTCTCCACTTGTAAAACTCAAGCAAAGAATCTTACCTTAGCTACAAGACTGTTGAGAAACCCTTTTTTTTAAGCTATCAAAAGCATACCAAACTTAACTGGCCATTTAACCCTCATCTCCATATAAGCATCTCTCATCTTGCTGCTACTTCCAAATTGGCCTGAGTGAGAAACTTAGGATTTTCCTGAGAAAAAAAGGAAAAAAAAAACCCATGAAGATTGACAAGGAAATCTCTCACCCCATCCACCTACAACACAAGCTCAAGATTGAATACACAGAGATCCCATTCTACTGTGATGGGTGCAAAGAACCTGGCATTGGCCTCAAATACAAGTGTCAGAAATGTGAGTTTGACTTGCATAAGGCATGTGCTGTGGCTGCTCCCAACATCCACCATCCCTTCTACAACAAATGTGAGTTTCAGTTTCTTTACAACCCGCCAGGTGCTGCTAGGAGAGTGTGTGATGTATGTAGGAAGGATGTTTTGGGGTTTGTGTACCACTGCTGGAGATGTGATTTTGATCTGCACCCTTGTTGTGCAAACCTCCCACAAGTCCTAGATGATGGGGAGCACAACCTTTACTTGTGCCTCAAGTTATCTGGTCCTTGTCATAGGTGTGGAGGCAAGGGGCCTGGTTGGTCTTACAGGTCTGATTGCAAGACCTATAACCTTCATGTGTCATGTGTGAAGGAGTTGCTTGTGGAGAGCTGGCAAGCCATGTATCTCAATGTGGACAAGAACAAAGTTAGGGAAATGCAGACTAGAATCCCAAGCCTTAAGGGAACACTGAAAAACCATCATGGAGGGAGAGGAGGAGGAGGAAAGGTCAGAAAGTGTTGCCAGATTGCTGGTGGTGCCGTTCGTGTTATTGTCTCTGCCATCCTGGGAGATCCTACTGCTCTTATAGGCGCGGTTGTCGGCGGTTTCATATCCAAGTAGAAGGGGGGAAAATGAAAACAAGCGTGTGCTTAGTATGTCTTGTTATTACTTTTCTTCATGTTTTCCTGTTTCAGTTTGTTACTTGGTTACATGTAAATTTATAAGTACTGTGTGTGTGAATGATTAGGACCCTGCAGTGTCCTCCAAATCTGCATATTAAAGTTAAAAAATATGATTAGATATGACATTGTGTGTCTTTTCTTGAGTAGCATTTCATTCGGATAAGGAAACAACTGAGAATTGGAGCCTCCTTTTGTGTACAGAAACGTACACATCACTTTGTGTATTCTTATGGATAGGTCTTCTTTTGGCTGTTGGTAAGTACCAAAGGTAAGAAGGTTTTGTAATGTACCAAACATATAGCGAGGGCTTATAATTTCAGTGATAGAGCACTTTATCCTACATTTCCGGTGAGAGTTGAATTTATGAGTCATGCGCTCTCCGCCCTAGAATCATTATGAAAATAAAAAAATAGAAAAAAGAAAAGAAAAAAGAAGAGAGATATAGTAATCTTCGAGACGTTGGCGCGGTAGGTATTGTAAGCCAAATTTTGTTTCCTTCTATTTTCCTTCATATCATTCAAAATCTTCTTGGTCTACTTGTAAAATTCATTGAGGCCTTCTGCATGCGACCTCCTCTGGTTCTAGCATACGCAAGGTACTCATGCTGCTTAGAAGTTTCCTTTAAAAGAAAGAGAATACAAACATGTTAGTTTATAGCCCAATGGGTTCATATTTCTGGCAGAAAATATTGACTTTTTCAAGGCATATTAGCCGCCTTGACTTTTGAAAAGTCTCTGTTTTTGGAGTTTTCTTGAAGGAAGAAAAACAAAGGAAGAACATTAACGAGTACCACACAAACAGAACATTGTATATTAAAGATAAGGTTAACAGGTCCAAATGGACAATTGACAAATCAAGCCCCTCGTCTTCCATTTTGGTAATTTCGTGTCAGATTCCTTATTCAACAGATGCATGTATATATAACATATTTACCACAAGCAGAAAGCAAATCTCTCATTTTGATCACCTTGTGCACATAGTGAGAACACCATTTCCTCTCACATTTGGTTAGTTCCGTTTTTTCTGTTCTTGTTTTCTGCATTTAAATTAGCTCTAGGTGAATCAATCAAAATCAACAAGGAATATGGGGCTTCCGAAAGGAATATTAATCACCTTTCTAGTTGTCCCTTTTGCCATAATGCTGCATCAAGCTGCCATAGGCACTGCAGAATCAGCAGCTAAGCCGAAAGATTTCCCTTTTCGTGTATTTGATGAAAAAACTGACCAAGCTGCCTTCCGCTTTGAAGGCGTTTCTTCCATTGATCAGGGGGCACTTCAGTTAACCCCAGACACTCTGAACCAAGCCTTTCTCTTACCCAACAGGTCCGGGCGCATCATGTACTACAGAGCTTACAGACTATGGTTGTCTGACAACGATGATGATGATGTTGTTGCCTCCTTCAACTCAACTTTCCTCCTGAACATTTACCGTAACAAAGAGTGGAATGCCGGTGAAGGCTTTGCCTTTCTAATAGCTTCAGATATAAATATACCTGAACAAAGCCATGGACAGTGGCTAGGCCTCACCAATGCCAGCACTGATGGGAATGCAACAAACCACATCGTTGCTATAGAATTCGACACAGAAAAGCAGGATTTCGACCCCGATGACAACCACATAGGCCTCAACATCAATTCTGTACACTCAAGCAAGAATGTTTCTCTCAAACCTTTAGGCATTGAGATATCGCCGGAGATAGCCACCAACTACAGCGTGTGGGTGGAATACGACGGTAGGTCCAAAGTCATGGAAGTCTACATGGCTAAACACTCTCGAGCCAACCCACCAAACAAGCCTAACACACCACTTTTGAGTGAGACAATAAACTTGAGGTATTACCTGAAAAAAGAGTCCTTCTTTGGATTTGCTGCTTCCACAGGCAGCCCAGCAATTCAGCTAAACTGTGTTTTGGAATGGGATTTAAAAGTGGAGGAATTACACCCAAGAAAAGATTGGACTTGGTTGAAGATTGCTGCTGGGGTTGGTGTTCCAACTATGGCCTTGTTAGTGATACTTGGATTTTGGCTGGGAATTAGGTATGTGAACAAGAGGAAAATAACCAGGGTTGAAGAGTCCAATGTGCTAGGGACACTGAAAAGGTTGCCAGGAATGCCTAGAGAGTTCAAGTACAAGGAGCTTAAGGAGGCAACTAATAATTTCCATGAAAGCATGAGACTTGGACAAGGTGGTTTTGGCATTGTTTACAGAGGAACTCTGCATGATAAGGATCATGAAGATACTAAAACCTCCACAGAAATTGCTGTCAAGAAATTCTCCCGGGACAACATCAAAGGCAAAGATGATTTCTTGGCTGAGCTCACCATAATTCACCGGCTTCGACACAAACATCTTGTACGGTTAGTAGGTATGTCATTTGCACGATTCATTTTTTTAATCCAATCTTCAATTTAGATTAATGAGCTAATTAGGAACATTTGAAAATGTTTTAATTCCAAGAAAAGATAAAATAAAAAAGGGCCAACAGTCAACCAGAAATCGTCAATGCAAAATACTTAGGGCGGCTGAGAAATAATCCATTCCATTTGAATTTTGATATGGTCTTTTGAATTGACAATGTCTTTTTCTTCCTTTCAAGGAAGTCTTCAGAACCCAACTCTCAATTATTATTATTATTTTTTTTTTTAAACATGGTTAGAACTTGTACATCCAAAATTAAGTGTATTCCAACAGACTATAATTTCAAGTTTGAACTTCCTTCACTTAAATTTCTGTTTCATAAACAGCTAAATCATGAAGTTTCAAAACCCTGCTCATTACTCTACATTGACTGTTGTACAGGATGGTGCTATGAGAAAGGGAAGCTTCTTTTAGTGTATGATTTTATGCCAAATGGCAGTGTCGATAAGCACTTATATGAAACTTCCAGCCAGAATACACTGAATTGGAAACATAGATGCAAGATCCTTGCTGGTGTGGCGTCAGCATTGCATTACCTGCAAAACGAGTATGACCAAAAAGTGGTGCACCGCGACCTAAAAGCCAGCAACATCTTGCTTGACTCAGACTTCAATGCTCGCCTGGGAGACTTTGGCCTTGCCCGAGCCTTGGATCAAGAGAGGAACTCATATGCTGAACTAGAACAAGCTGGAGTCCCGGGCACCATGGGCTATGTTGCTCCAGAGTGCTTCCACACAGGAAAGGCTACTCCAGAATCTGATGTGTTCGGTTTCGGGGCAGTGGTGCTTGAGATTGTATGTGGTAGAAGTCCAGGGATTAAGATTCTTCATGAACACCACCAGTACTCCTTGGTTGATTGGGTGTGGATGATGCATCGAGAAGGGCGCATTGAAGAAGCCATGGATAAGCGGCTCAACGATGATTATGTGTTTGATGAAGCAAATCAGCTTTTACTTCTGGGTTTGGCATGTTCACATCCCATTGCCAGTGAGAGGCCTCAAACACAGGCCATATGCCAGATTATAGCTGGAACCACTCCAGCCCCTAGTGTACCTCCATTCAAGCCTGTTTTTATGTGGCCTTCCATGGGTGCTGCCTACAGCAGCACTGAGAGTACAGTTTCTAACGTCATTCTTTCTAGCATTACAGTGTCTTACTAAAGTTTGGTGGAACACTGAATGTAACATTATTGCAGTGGCTTCAGCTCATCTCCTTCTGCATTAAGATTGGAGGATTTTTACTGAAGCCCATTGTTCAGAATACCTAATGATATTGTTTAATGGGATCGCCAGTATTAAGAATTTTCTATAGATTTACCTCAGAAAACCAATCAGATTATGGCATCATTTGTTCTTTGAGATCCAAAAGATCTCTCAATTAACCTCGTCAACTGCGTTATACCTATGATTAGGCTACTTTTAGCTAAGGTTACAGAAAATTGATTAAAGCAGATAGTTTTGTAGCCTTTGGCTTCTAAATGAACAACTGAAACTACCTCAGACAATGTTCTACCAGATGGCACTTTATAGAAGGCAAGATTTTACATTGAACTGTATTCAAGACCAAGTCATTCTCTGTCCACACAGATTCTTGAGCCAGCTAAGTTTCTCTGGTCCACCCAGAAGGGCCAAAACCATATACCAGTTCAGTTCACCTCATATATTGAAAGTACACAATACCAAACTAAGCTACAATACAAGAAAAATGAATATCAAAGAACAGAAAATTTGAGACTCTAGTACCTTGGGCCTATTCTTCAAACCAAACCAAACTTCGTTGCAAACTTCTTTTGATTACAGTCCAGCATTTCACTCAAGCTACAATGGGTTGTCCTCTGTTTCAAAAGTTTGTGTCGCCGCTCCACTCTTTTCTTCAAACCATGGCGAAAGAAGTCGGGATAATCAGCAACCTCATCAATTCGTCTACCCATTACCTCTACCAAGAACCTGATTCTAGGTTCTAGAGAATTGTGGATGCTCTTGATCAAAATTGGAGGATAACCAGATACCAAAGCTGCTATCTGACCATCTTCAAATCCACTTCTCTTTAGATAATCAAAATTGGGCCTCAGAATCTTGTCTACATCTCTACACAACACTTCTGGAAAGCTCATTGCCACAGTCTGAAGACCCTGCTCTGTGAGACCAACTGATTTCAAAAACTCTGCAGTAGGGCGCAATCTTTTTTCAACACTATAACCCATGATAAATGGGTTCTTTACCAGTACTTTTCCAATCATCCCTTCTCTGGAAAGGCCAAGATTAGCAAGAAAGTTCACAATTTCAGACAGCTTTGCTTCAATGCTGTAGCTGATGAGCCTAGGATTGAGCAAAATCATTTTCCCAAGTTGCTTTTGAGGAATTCCCAGTGCCTCAAAGAAGGCCAAGAGTGGACAGAGCTTCTCTTCCACACTATGGGACAGAATGTGAGGGAATTTGGCAATGGCAGATGCAACTTCACGGGGTTTGGTACCGAGCGTGGTGAGGCACTCAACAGTAGGTACAAGCTTCTCATGGAGGGCCAAAGTAAGTATCTTGGGGCATTTTGAAACAACAGAAGGTAGCTTTCTCTCTTGAATGCCAATACTTTTCAAATAAGCCCAGTTCTCAGAGGCTGTTTCCCCATGCACATTCTCAAGACGCTTGCACTTTTTTAGCATATCCTGAATGCTCTTATCATCAAAACCTTTATCCCTGAAGAACCACATGATACTAGTACTACCATTTTGGGTGGTGCTGGTTTCCATTTTGCCCCCCTGACAACAAGTGAAACACATCAACCCCAAGCTACATTCACAAGTTCATATAAACCCAGAAAACTACTTGTGTAAAAGTTGATTAACAAGTAAACATCAATAGAAGACCATGCTGAAAATGAACAAAATTCAATAAATGGGCAATTATAAAATCTAAGAAACTAAATATTTCCATTCAATTCTATCAGAAAAACATTCTTTCTCGTCTGAATTTAGCAAATATATATGCACACAGTAAGAGTCACATACATACCTACGATTCAATCAGGCACAGCAAAAGGGAAAAGCTAAAAGAGAGAGACTTTGCAGTTGTAAAGGCAGCCGCAGAAAATTCATAGGCAGAGGCAGTGGCAGTGGCAGGACGGAGTTGAGAAGGAGAAAGCCATAGCCCAAGCCTTATCTGTTTGTTTTAGCGCTACACTTCAAGCAGTGAAGCGAAGGGAAGGAACAACTGAGCCTTCTTTCCGAAATTCCGTATTTGCCCTCGTTGTTTTCTTGAATGACTAGTGTGCCCTCTTCTTTGCCGTATATGCCACAATCACAGTCCTCGTTTTCCTCTCTTTGGTTTGAACTCCAAAACCTTACTCTCCCTTAAACCCTAAAATTGAAGAACGTAAAGCTCGTCACTTTATTGATCAGAAATCTCTGGAGCCATGCCATCGTTTCACGGTCGAGTTTCTAAGCACATCTTGTCTACAATTTCTAACCCTCTTCGCCATTCATCTGAGCCCCCCATTTCAACGAGCTTGTCGATAAAACTGCGTCGTTTAAGCTCCACAGCTGATCGCAGCGGTGAAATGGAAGCACCAGAGCAACAACCTCCAGAGCCCATACCCAATAGGCCTTTGAGAGGACAAAGACCATCCAATCCCCCGACCTCCCCTCTTCAATTCCTCAACAAAAACTCACCCATTTCAGAAAAGAGGAGAGAGAACCTTTCTCCGCCATTGCAGGACAGCAGTTTTCTTGAAAAGCTCAAGCTTGGTCTTAACAAGTCCAAGAGAGAGAAGCCTCAAGAAGTTGACGAGCCGCCCCAGCCACCTGAAGAAGCAGACGAGATATTCAAGAAGATGAAGGAGACGGGTCTCATTCCCAATGCTGTGGCCATGCTTGATGGGCTTTGCAAAGATGGGCTGGTTCAGGATGCCATGAAGCTTTTTGGGTCGATGCGTGAAAAGGGTACTATTCCTGAGGTTGTTATATACACTGCTGTGGTTGATGGGTTTTGCAAAGCCCAGAAGCTTGAAGATGCTAAGAGGATTTTCAAGAAGATGCAGAGCAATGGGATTATTCCCAATGCTTTTAGTTACACTGTGTTGATACAGGGATTGTATAGGTCTAATAAGTTGGAGGATGCTGTTGAATTTTGTGCTGAAATGCTGGAAGCCGGTCACTCACCGAATGTAGCTACTTTTGTGGGGTTGGTTGATACGGTTTGTAAGGAAAAGGATTTGGAAGAAGCTGAAAGTGTTATTGGGAAGTTGAAGCAAAAGGGGTATTTGGTTAATGAGAAGGCTGTTAGAGAGTTTTTGGACAAAAAGGCGTCATTTTCGCCCACGGTTTGGGAAGCTATCTTCGGGAAGAACAAGTCACAGAAATTTTTTTGAGTTCTCTTGGTCATTAGAAGCATAAGAAATTGTAAGTTTTGCTGTTCTGCTGTTGATTATAAAAGATTGAGTTTGTTTGGCTTTGTTAAGACCTTGTTGCCCCATTGTATGAGGAATAGCATGAGAATAACATCAATGCCACCCTTGGAAATTCACTTTGTTAATAACGGTCATGATTCCTTGTGCTTTATATGGTTGTCGAGGATTTGTCAGCATAAGTTTTTTAATAAAGTTTTATACAGTTTACATTCCACAGGGTAATGACCCGTGATGCTTCTGATTAATAAGAGTTCAATTAGAATGCCCAATTTATGGCTTTGATCAAGTTTGCTTAGAACTTCAAAAATTAGCCACTTGCTGTGATTGTTCTGTGTCATGTTTTCTATCAATGGATACTTGAAAAAACTAAAGATGTTTTAAGCGCATATTTTAATAGCTTAATCTGTGCTTGCTTTTACTTCTTTGTGTTGCTTAGTCAACCAGCACAACAAAGTTGAAACTGCTCATTGGTTCATATAACAAAACATTGTTGGAAAGGCTAGGTGCAGGGGAAATGCTGGTGGTTGTGGTGGGTAGACAGATTTGTGATGGAGGTAGCAAATGTCAATAGTAGCAGAAGGAGTAGCAGCAGCAGCAACAACAATAGTAATAGGTCAGTTATTATAAGTTAGAGTTGGGTTTATTGATGGCTTCAAGGTTAGTTTCGCTTCATATTTCATCCATGGTGATGGTGAAGGAAAGAATGTGAGGGTGGGAGGACTTCTTTGACTATCATAGATAGGGATACAAGTTCTTCACACTCTCATTTTACTTGGTCTTTTTTGTTTGGCCAATCTGATTTCCGTTACTTAGTTTTCGTGCAAGATACAATCCGTTTTGGAGCTTATTAGGTCTCGAAGCCCTATATAGAACGCTGCTAAAACTGGTTTTGACCAAAAATATTATTGTGAATGTTGACTTGCAGATTTTGCATAATTCTACAAGTTCTGGAGAATTCGTGCTCTTAGTTGCAACAAAAAGAAATGGAGATTCTTGTTTTTAAGGTCTTCTTCTTTTAGGTAGCTCAAAGATGTATCAGAAAATAAATTATTTTTTTCCTCCAAGATGCTCCCAAGCTTGTAGAACATGTAACTGTTCACTCTGTTGCCATAACTACACGCTTTTGGTCACATTAATTTGTTGCCAACGCAAGCGTTTGTGGATGGAAGCTGCAGTCTGCCAATAGACAGCCCTCAAAACATGCAACCGCGTATGGCAAAAAGCGGTTGGCGTCTCTCTTGTGCAAAAACAATAACTCATCATGGTCGGTTATTGTTTATTCCAAGTGAGCAAATTGTGAAGAAAGAGATACATCTCCTCTTGAAATGACTTTTGGGTATTATAAGCTCCTCCTAATTTAAATGCCAAGCACCAACTCACACCCAACAAAATTCTCTGTGCCCCATAAGATCTTTGTGATTTGGTCGGCTTTATTTTTATCCCCTCTGCTAGTTTAAGGTAGTATGTGGTCATATACCTAGGTTAGAGGGAACTGTCCCATTAAGGGCGGGGCTGATGTAGCATGTTTCAATTAACCCATAATAATCAACGAGTTTATTATAATACTAGAGACATCAACTCATATCCGAACGTTTTAAATCTCAACTGATGTAGTAGTGTTTCATCTGTTTATTTTCGTACTGACTGTGAATCGCATTCTCATTTATTTACGATAATAAGCAACTGTCATGTTATGTAGCTCCGTAGTGTTTGGCTACAACTTGGGGTGATGAAAGGAAATTGAAAGTTAATTAGAAGCACATGCTTTGTGTTGTGTACATAACATTTCAAGATTATAACTAATGAGTTATAACATATGATGGTGTTTGTGAATAACTTCCCAAATCATGTGCACATAATCATTGACTAGCTTATTAGTTTTCACATTTTATTAATACGTACACAAGTTGAAACCTGAGTCAAGGAGCCAATTGCGGAGTCATTTGAGCTTTGGTTTTTGTCTGGTAGGTGATCACTGTTTAAAACCGAGGGCCACAATACCAGATAAAGGTAAACCACTACACACCTAAATATCTAGCTATTGAAATCATGCTTGTAATTTTTGCATGTATATCAGTAATTTCATTTAATGAAAAACAAATTAAAGGGTTGGAAACAATTAGAATAGATTACTAAAATTCGGGTTGGGATCAATCTTCTCTCTCACCAGTCTAATATCGTCAAACAAATGATTATATCGTCCGACTGATTAGATAACATTTTCTTATAAATCGTAAAACACTAAACTTTAAATATTTAAACGCTAAAGTAATTTGTATCGAACTTGTGCATAAGTTGCTTGATGAGTGAATTATCAATCAATCTAAGCTCGTCCATTATGCTTCGAGTTGTTTTTATATTATTGAAAATTTAACCTAGGGACCTGTATTGCATGCTTAATGTGACCTTAATTACAACTAAATCGCAAGGAAACCGTTATTTGCGCTCGAACAAGATCTTCCAGAGGCTTTAAGTACTTACTAATTACTATTATAAGTGAATTAGAGAGACAAGTTGTACTTGTTTAACTCTACATTTTAACATCTATATTTAATCAAAGACTAAGAATATGTGGGGTCGGCGCCGGCCCTGCTCCCCCGCCGATCCTTATGAATTTAGCACAGAGTCACACACTTGACCTACAATAAAATATCAAACACTTTTATATCTACGTAGAAAATATATTTCAAAACACCCCCTCTCCCCCCACCTTCAAAAGTCAGAGCTAAGATAATAATAATACATTTAAATTGTCTTTTAAGACTAAGGATTTAACATTCAACACTCAAAAACTTGTTGCTATATAAAGGCCTACATGGGTTCCTTTCCATATCACTTAAAATCCCATTACCCTTACAAATTTTGGTACTTGGGTTACAAGAATTGCTTTTTTTTTTTAACCAGAAAAAATGATATGCCTAATGTTTTCTCAGTCACATTGGAGCATGGCTACAATTTTCTTCTACACTTGTTTTTGGATCCCATTGCTGCAAATGAAAAGAGGTCTGGCCAGATTGGTTGGTTTTGTGTTCTTCTTCACCTGCCAAGTGGAGCAGGAGGAGTACCAAATGGGCTGCAACCAGATGTGCCTTCCAGTGGCTAGGTTCCAGGACTTGCAGGATCATGGTAGCTTAAGGTGTGGGCAGGAAGCTTTGGAGGAGACATGCTCAATTTGCTTGGTTGAGTTTGAGAAGGAGGATGTGGTGAGTCAATTGTCTAAGTGTGGGCATGTTTTCCACATGGACTGCATTGAGAGGTGGATTGAGCGCAGCCACTTCACCTGCCCAATTTGCAGGTCTCTTTTCTTCAATGTAAAGACTTCTCATGCAAAATGGGATGAGAGTGTTAATAGTTCTTCCTCCTACCTTAACGGGGTTTCTTGGTATTATTAGTTGTTTGATCTTGATTTATTAGTTAGTTCTTTGTTTCTAGAGAGAGAGAGAGAGAGAGGCTGTGATTGGTTATGATTATCCTTTTTTTTCTTCATGTAATTAAGATACATATAGCTCTTTGTCATTTATAAGAATTAAGACAGTTGCAGAAAAGCAAAAAAGAGCACAAGAAGGATAATCCAACTTTCATTTGTCATCCACAAAAGCCTTGCTGATATTAATTGGATGCAATTGTATTTGGTGCTGAAGACTGAATTGGATAACTCGCAAAATTTAAACGTTGAAGTATGACTAATCTATCTTCTACCTTTAACTCGGACAAAATTTGGAAGTTGGTTTTCATAACTTCTTTCATCGTACCTTAAATCTAGTGGCTTATCAAGTTTAATCCGGTCTTAACTTGTTTTATTTTATTTGGCATGATTGAATCCTCATAATAAAAATTAGTTTGACAAATGAGTGGAGCATCTGATGTTATATGTTTGTTGTTGATGATGATGATGGGCAGGTCAACGAGCGCATGAGCGCCATACTCTTAACTTGTTTAATTAATTTGCAAATAATTGATTAAAACTTGAATTAATAAAATAATTAATCAATTATTATTCTTTTCTTAAAAGAAACACGAGCATGTTCAATCCCTTCTAGCAAATAATTGAGTGGAGGGGTACGCGTACCCACTCAAATTAGTTGTTGAGTTTTGTGAATGTTCATAGGAAGGGATCTATCTTCTTGACCATGCTTTCAATACTAAATAAATGGGCTTGCTTGATATTCAATCTAATATTTTTTCTTAGATTTTGTTATTTGTTTTGCTTTATTTTAATTTTCATGGTGGGATATTGGTAATGAAAATAAGTTTGACAAATGAGTAGGGCATCTGATAATGATTATGATGATGGATAGGTCAATGAGGGCATGAGGTTTACTTCTAATTAGTTTAATTAATGAATTTGAAAATCTAAAAATCATTCATCAAGCCAACCCATTAAAATTGAAATAATAAATTAATAATTTTTTTTTTTCCTTAAAAAGAAACACGAGCCTGTTGATTCTCTTTAGCAAATAATTGAGAGTGGGGTTACGTAAACCAATCGCCATTGTTTATGAATTAACATGTGGGAAGAAGAAGCTTGTACAACAGAAAGACTAATCTTTGTTTATGATGTTTGAGGTGCAAGTTAAAGTTTTAGAAAAGAAAAATGTGAGTGAGCAAAAATGCGAAATTCAGTCGCATAGATAGACTTCTCGTGAATTTCACTTTTATAAGAGATGTAATCATCAATATAACCAGTAACGTAAACCGTTGTACTTTTATCCGGAACTAGTGCTACATAAGGATAGTTGGCAGAAATATTTTGTTAATTGACTTCATCATCAATTACATGCTTTGAATTATTTGACGATCATTTTGACTTCTGGCCTCTCTCCACTCTCCCCTCTCAACTTCAAAAGCTTTCTCTACTCTGAATTTGACCAATAATCTCCTTTTCTGTTTCCAATCATAGCCATTTAAATATGGGTTTACTAGTGAAATACCCCCTGAACTTGTACATAATTTTCAATTAGCCCCTTATTTTATTTTTTTAGAAAATTAAGGACATGAATTTATTTTTTTTCGTCAATTTACCCCCTACCGTCTAAATCATCAACATTTCATCCAATTTTTAGTTAAATTATTTTTAAAATTATTTTTTTGGAAAATTTTTGAAGAAAAATAGGAAAATTAACCCAAAAAAACAAAGAAGAAAAAGATATTAAAGAAAAAAGATCCTGAGAACCCCCACCTTAACTTGGTTTCTGATTCCTTGAGAGAGTTTTTTTTTTTTTTTTTTTTTTTTTCTTTTTTTTTCTAGTTGTTGGGTTGTGTTTATTTCAGCATTTTTCTTGTTCTTTTGATTGTTAGCTTTATGTTCTCTCACCTTGAAGAGAAGACTGAGGAGATAAATGTTGGGTTGATCAACACAACGAGGGGACCATGTGGGTTTTTTGATGGTTGAGATTTGGCATTTGGTGGAAGATTTGAGGCAGACTTGCCATACCTTTTCCTCAAATTGCAATTCATATAAACCAAATCAATTGTTCTACCTGTTAGTACGAGTCACAGACTCACAGCCTTACCTCTCAACCTTCGTTCGTGGTGCCATTTAGCTGTTTGTAACAATCCCAGAAACCCAGAAACCCAGATCTGGGTTTTCACTCCTCCCACACAAACCCAGAAACTCCAGCCAGAAAACACAAACCCAGAAATCCAAATCTGGTTTTTCACCCCTCCCCCACAAACCCAGAAACTCCAGCCAGCAACCACAAACCCATAAACCCATATCTGATTTTTCACCCCTCCCCCACAAACCCACAAACCCCATAGGAAAATTGACAACAACAACAACAAGAAAAAAAAAAAAAAAAAGAATGAACCAAACCTGTCGCCACTCCCCTCCCCCAGCAACCCCATTGCCAACCCCCCTCCCCCATCTATATATATCTCCTTCAGCAACCCTAAACCTTAACCCGAGCCGAAATCCATCCCCACGCGAGATCTATTCCAAGCCCTAGCCGAAACCCATCCCTAACCCTTGCCCCCAAGTCCCACGGTTTTGGGTTTAGCCAAAGGAGAAGAACCAAGGGAGAGATAAAGGCAAAGAGAAGAAGGAAAAACAAAATGAAAGAGAGGACGGAGACAGAGGGAAGAGAAAAGAAGAAGAATAAGAAGAGGAAGAAGGAAGAGAGAGAGAGAGAGAGAGAGAGGGGGAGAGAGTTTTCAGTTTTTATTTTAAGACTATTATTTCAATTTTCCATTTTTTATTTTATTTTTCAATTTTTATTTATTTTTAACGTACAAAATGACTATTTTACCCTCATATTTAACGGCAAATTGGATGAAATGTTGCAAATTTAGACAGCAGGGGGGAAATTGGCGAAAAAAAATTGTTCATATCCTTAATTTTCTAAGAAAAAAGGATAGGGGCGAATTGAAAGCGAGGTTCAAGTTCAGGGGGTATTTCACTAGTAAACCCTTTAAATATTGATGTGACATAATCAAATTACATATTTCAAAGAGTATTTAAGATTATGTACATTTGGTAGAGCTTTGACTCAAAGAGGAGATTTATTTTATAATAGTGAAGATTGGAAAACTAGCAAATATGTGCATAAACAATTTCTCTGGTATCCCTCTGTTTTCCTCATGTCCATCTCATACTCTTCCCTTCCTCTCATATTTTGACATGTACTTTTAAATTATTTATAACTAGTGTCTCAACCAGCGCTTCAATGTGTGTCAATAAACTATTTAATTAATTAATTAATTTTATTCTTATTTATAGACAATTTTTTTTATAGGAATTTTTATTTCCTATTTATTTCTTAAATGATGGAAATTTTGAGTTCTGAAAATTTAACCATAAAAGCCTTTTGATTTATATATGTATAGATAATAACAATTTAATGTCTTATTAGTGAAGAAGTGAAAAAAAGAAAAGAAAAGGCAATTTGATATCTTTTGGGCTTTATGTGGGCCCAGAAGTTGTCTCCCAGCCCAACTGGGAGTTTTGCCTCGCTCTTTCCTGAGCCCAGCGGGAGAGGCATAGCTCTTATAACGGTCTTACCCAATTTTATAAAAGGAAAGTAAATCATAGTTTTCAGTCCGATATAAATCGCGGCACGGATTTAAGCTTAGCTTAGCTGGGTGGGTGAAGCTTCGAGCTTTGAAGAGTAAAAGTACTCGATCGCCAGAAAGAACGCAGCCATGGTAAGACAAACTGAATTCTTCCCTTTGTTTGTTGACGAAGATCTTTCGTTTCAAAATTCCTCGTTGTTTGGATTGCTCATTTGCCTCTTCTCTTCCTCATATTTCAATTTCTTAGATTGGGTTGCTAATTTTTTTTAGATCTGGGTCGAATATTGATCAATTCTCACTTGTCTGGGATATTTTTTTCCTGTTTCAATTTGTTTTCTTGTGAGCAAAATCTGGGCTGTTATATTTGTAGAAATCAATATATTTGCCTTACCAACAATGGGCACACCATGTAAATTGCCTTGGTATTGTAGTTAAATACGAAAGTGGCGATTTTGACAGGATTACTAGGCTTACATTCGTTGAATTTTACAAGGGTTTTTTACTTTGGTTGTTGATCTAATGCTTTATGTTGTAGATTCAATTTGTGCTTCTTATAAGCAGGCAAGGAAAAGTCAGGTTGACAAAATGGTATTCGCCTTATACCCAAAAGGAAAGAACTAAGGTAATGCCTATAGGTCTTATTGGATTTTGTGGGTTGTTTAAGCTTCACGAAATATATAATTCCAAAAAGAATAACCATATTAACAATTTTCATCTTTGTTATGAGAATAGCTTTCAATTGCGACATTGGTAATCACTGTGTGTGCATGGTTTTTGTTGTACATTTTTGAGTAGGTCCTTCGCGAGCTCAGCGGAGTAATTCTTGCACGAGGTCCCAAGCTCTGTAATTTTGTGGATTGGAGAGGATACAAAGTTGTTTATAAAAGGTAATGCAGAGAGATATGACTGTGCTTTTGCTCTTCTAAGGACAATCATGACTGAGTTGATTCTGTGAATGTGTTATGCAGATATGCTAGTCTATATTTCTGTATGTGTATTGATCAAGAAGATAACGAATTAGAGGTCCTTGAAATGATTCATCATTATGTTGAGATTCTCGACCGATACTTTGGCAGTGTGAGTGTTGATTGCATTATCTTCTTCATTTCATTTTGATGAAGGATGTTGTTGTATTAATATATTCATGGTTGCAGGTCTGTGAATTGGATCTGATCTTTAACTTCCACAAGGTATGCATACTGTGCTTATTTATGGGTCAACAATTTGCTTCTTGAGAATTACATGTCAAAGATTAGTTGGTTTTTTTAATTTCGTCACCATGTTGCTATTTGTTGATATTCAATGTCATAGGGGTTCAACGATTTTTCTTCTTGAAAATCACATGACGTTCTTCTGATGCATGTTCATATTGCATCTATATGAAAGTAAGTATTTGGTTTGATTGTTTGTTACTGTTGACAACATGAAGGCCTACTATATACTGGATGAAATTTTGATCGCTGGTGAACTTCAAGAGTCAAGCAAGAAAACAGTTGCACGGTTGATAGCTGCACAGGTACAAATATTCTTAGATCAATGCCGTTTGTTGTCGAATATTTCGGCTCGTGCTAATTTCATTATATTACGGCCTTTCAGGATTCTTTGGTGGAGACTGCAAAGGAGCAGGCTAGTTCAATAAGCAATATAATTGCGCAGGCCACGAAATAGTGAACGACATACATATGGTCACCTGTTGTATTAATATACACCGAAGTGCGTCTGTACCAAAATGATTATTTTTATTTTGGATTATTTTTTGAAAAATAACTGATGTGCCTTTCTTCTTTTAGTTGTGTATGTCTTCAAAAGGATTGTAGACAGGGTTGCTCTCCGGGTTTGCCTTTAATTATATGTCTTGTGCGGCTAGTGCATTGCCATTACTTATATTTGAGCCCTTCTTTTCCTGTCCAGATTTTTTTCAACTGAAATTGGTTTCAATAATAAAGGAAATTAAATTTGTCTTTCTTCTTTAATTATTTGGGTCTCCCATAGACAATTTTATGGATATTTTCCCTTAAGATTCCAAGAGATGAAGAAACCATTATTAGGGTGTCCCATAGACTATTGTTTTTTTTTTTTTTTTTGGGTCGAAAGCCCATAGACAATTGTATGGATGTATATAGAAGGAATTAGTTGGTTGTTGAGGGGAATGGTATGGCAGAAGAGTCTAGCAGCAACGATTGTAATTGGCACGTTTCCTTTGGTTAAAAATGTAAATTAAGGGCCAATGCCAGATTACCACAGTGTTTGTGGCCCTCCCCTTCCCCCTGCTTGGCACGAAACCCCGAAACCCAGGGTTTCTTTCCTCCCAATGCAACCAAAAAAAAAAAGTAAATTTAGGCCTCCCAGTATTTACTAAAAAATTTCTCATCCGGTGAAGACTAAACATGAATTTGGCAAGTTAGGGCATAAATTCGTATTAACATTATATGTAGATATTATTAATTTTGATTTGATTAAGAACATTTATTCGTGGTTAATTGCTGCTTAAATGCTAATTCTCTACTGAACCCAACCCAGACAACCGAAGTGGCTACCATGTTGAAGCTCTTGGCTATTTCTCTCTGAAGATTCGACATTCATGCCTCAAAAACAAGTTATAGCCTCATTCTGTCAATAGGAAGGCTGAGCCAAAAGACCTTGTCCAGTCAAGCACCACAGAATTCCACCCATGGCATCATAAAAAATTCTGCAGAAGTTGATAAAAGAAAAGAAAAGAAAAAAGGACAGTTGAATAACAATCAGGTACCACACATTTGATGTCTGCATCGGAAGCCATAGGCATAATTTTAATATGTGTGCAAAAGTAATTAAACTAAACCTTTAGAAAATATCCAAATCCATTGAATTTACAAGAACTCCATCATCTTCCCACGATATATCCTTGGCCTTTAGATCTTTTGCGATGGGCTGAAGAGGCACCTCTAATGGCGGAGGTCTCTGCACACAGATCATACAGAAAGTCAAGAAATGTAATTGATGGGGAACTATAACGTAATTGACTTTATGAGATTACTGAAAAAAATACAAATCCTGGGTAGGCTCTTTAGATCAGTACCATGCAACGAATCAAGGGCCAATTAATTCCGCGGAAGAAAGGATGTTGCTTGATTTCATTTGCACCAGTACTGGATCCTAATCGTGTGTCAGGGTCTCTTTGCAACAATGCATTGATCAACTGCCGCGCTGCTAGGCTTGCCTGGAACATCAAATAATGTTAGCGGTTGCATAATTAGCTCAAAGCTTCCAATAATGACATTACTAAAACTTCATCTACAGCTGAAATGCTCACAAGGCTCAAAATGACAGTACAAACGCATTGTTTGATTCAAGATTTACCGGAATGCTGCCTGGAAAGGTGAGATCTTTGTACAAGACATTGGTGAATGTCCTCTGTCTATTTTTTCCCCTGAAAGGCGTACGGCCATAGAGCATCTCATACAACAAAATACCTGAATTCCAAACATAAATAAATTCACAGTATTAATGATAAAACGCATTACAGATCTGCAAAGAAAGTTAAGTAGGAGACTCCGTTATCATGAAATAGATGGAACACATGATTTGATACATCTTTGTAGAACTACCTAGTAGGGGGAAGAAGAACTCCATGACAACATGATTGGAAAAATTTACTATATGGAACACTTCTGGATACCAAAGCAATTTTAAAAGCTGTGGAACTTGAGAAATTGATTCCCTGATAAGCGTCAGCATGATAGCTTGCAATGACTGACACTTGTTACTCGTTTGGGAGCCCATGCATGAATGTATGCACATGCATATACATATGTGAACACACACGCTCTTACGCTTACCAAGAGCCCACCAATCAATGGCACTGCTGTGGCCTGCACCAGTAATAATTTCCTGAAATCAAGCACCTGTAAGAACTTTGAAAATATGTAGATAGACAAAATTATTATCATTACTGTAATAATTTTGTAGCAGACCAGCTTTTTACTATACAAGTATTTCCAAAACATGATAAGAGATACGTACAAAAAAACCATTGCAGATGTTTAAGCACATGCATACACTTTACTGTTGATGAAAAGAGAAAGTTGTGTGTGTGTGTGCGTCTCATAGGGGATATTGATCCTGAGTTCCATGTTGCGGCATGAAAATATTTTCTAAGGTGTTACCCAATCATTTTAGAACCGTATGAAAACAAAGCATGCGCTTCTGTCTAATGCAATAATCAAAATATTGAAAGTAGCATAACCCTAAACCATAATGGAAGAATCACCATACAGGAGCAATATACTCTTCAGTTCCGACAAATGAATTTGATTGTGTAACTGGTTCTGCAACAAATGTTGGTGGTGGTTGACTCCTAGATCTCCTTTTTTTGTTAGGCGATTGATGCCTTATAATCTGCAATGCAAAACAAAATATATTAACAAACAAGAAGAGTCAGAAGTTTCCATTTCAAGCATCTAATAGGAAGAATGGAAATTCTGGAAAGATAACTGTCATTATTATCTTCTCAAAATTACCATGGCACTAGACACACTCAGCACTAATGAAAAGAAATCTGAAGAAATTTCTTTTCATAATTTGATGCAAACTGGACAGATATAAAGCATTATCAGATATGGGGATGCACGCTTAACACCAGTGGTTGATAAGTTGTAACTAAGAGGAAACATTTCTAGCACTTAAAAAAGAAAAGAGCAGTTCTCTTCCCTCGTGCAAGCCAGTGACTAATGAGGACACTGATTGGGTCGGGACTCGGGATGGCTGTAGCTTAACTGGCCATCCGAATATTTTTAATCAGTTTCACAAATGAACCATGCATAGGGAGCATAAGAATGTTTCAAGTCTGTAAATAGAGAAGCAGCATGATCTTCCAAGAGGAATATGATTCTGTACCTGGGGTTTACAGGATGTCATAAATGATAAATCAAAGTCTGTTAAGACAACATGCCCATCCTTCTGGAGTAAAATATTCTCAGGCTTAAGGTCGCGATAAACTATTCCTGTAAGAAGCCAGAGATATAGTAAGCAAAGAAGCAAAAGAACTGAGATTTATTTTTTCATCATAATGATGCAGATTGTTATAATCGCTCAATGCTGGGTTGGATTCCTGTACTTCAAATGCTAATCCCTATACTCAGGGAAGAACTCAGATTACCTTCTGATAATAATCCAGGCTACCTAACTAATAAATGTTAACCACAGGATTTGGGAAGAATACCCATAATTTTAAGACTTCCCATTTTTTATACAATAAAATAGAGAGAGAAATATATGAATAGTCAAAATACCTAGACAGTGAAGATATTCCAAGGCAATGACAACCTCTGCCGCATAGAACCTGGGATATAATGAAAGTTAAACATTGAATTGTCGTACACACATACAACTAGTTTTATGGATCTTTGACTTTCACTAATGAATAGAAAAAATAAAAGCATACACGACACTTGAATTTGTGATTTAAGGCTCATATTGAAAGTCAACAAACACCAAGTAAAGGATTCATAACACCAAAAAAAAAAAAAAAATCTTACTGCAGTTGAACCCAATACAAGCTAGAGGTTAAAGTAGCAATAATCAGACCAGTGCTTCCTAGTTATTAATTCCATGCGAAAAGGGAAGTAGTAGTTTTAATATGGTACCAAGAGATGTTAGAGTACAAAAGTAAAAGTACCTCGCAGAGTCCTCCTTGAATAGTTTCATAGGCTGCTTGTCAAGCAAAGCAAATAACTCTCCACCACAGCAAAAGTCTGATATCAAACAAACGTGTGTAGAAGTCTGAGAAGATTAAAAGATATCAGTATACCATACACAACAAGTCAGTAAATTATAATTTGCAAAATGCATAAATGAAGCTTGTTGACATTAATCAACTTATTATAATTTCCTTAGAACCCTTTTTTGCTTGATTTTATATAGAAACTATAGAGCCAATACCAAGATAGTCAAAAGTCAAATGCAGTCCATACAAGATTGGAGAGTTTGAGACCCACAGTCCAGATATCTATTTTGACTTGTCATGCATGTCAAGCAGAAAATAAAAAATCTATAAGTTCTGCCCTCCAAATAAAAATAAAAATCCAATTTTCCTCTTTCTTTTATTTAAATCTTAAAAAAAAAATTTCCTTTGTAAAATAAGTACATTTAATAGGAATAAATTTGTCTGTCCTCTAAGGTTGTTGCAATATAGGTTAAGCTTTATTGGGTTAGGAAAGTATTCTTTAACCAAAAAATATATTTGATTTAGAAATTACACAGGATTGCACCTGGCCCCAATCAAATATGCCTATGCCTATTTGTGCACTCACATGTGCAGATGCATCCAAAAATGTCTGTATAAATTGTCTGAGTTGAACAAAGAAAAATTTGTGTTGTAAAATTGAAAGACCTGAAATGAAGTGTACAGTGTGGGAAGAAAAGGATGATCCAGTAGCGAAATTATCTCCCTTTCAATGCATGCTCGGTGAACCTGTAAAACAATCATAGCGATATGTGACCCTCGGGGATCTATAAAGAAACTATGCAACTTACTCCACTTTGCACAAACAAAAAAGGGCATGCATATGTGTATGTGTGCAAATACCACACATTCATACAAACAAGAGGCATGCATATGTAGACAAGCAAAGGTGTGCATAAGACACACAAAATTGCACAAAATTGCAAAGTTCCTTTTCTGGACACCACTGAGATATATGCTTATGCACTGCTGACGAATTCTGGTTCTCTAATATGATCATACCTTGTTACGGTTCAACATTATTGACTTCTCCATTGCCTTCATAGCATACAGTTCACCTGTACCTTGTAGCTCCACCAAATGGACACTGCAAACATACCATCTTCATGTAATTGACAAGTAGAGCTCCAGATAAACAAATATTTATGATCTGCATTGTATGAAAGATTTCCTAATGACCTGAATAAAAGTACAAATTTCAGATGTAAAAATGACAAGAAGGATTGTGAACACCACTCAAACACATAAGTTAAAAAGGTGAATATTGTGCAGTACCTGCCAGTATCACCACAACCCAATGGTTTTATGGGCTTAAAATGATGTAGACCAACTTTTTCACCACGAGCAGTAATCTACCGAGAACAGATAAGAATAGAAAAAATATGTTAGAGATGGAGACAGCTGATTCAAAACATATGAAGCCCATAACACCATATGTTGATTCTGAACACCATCAAGAAGTAACTATATTTTGTATAGGCCTAGAGAGGCTACAGAAACTATAATACATGATAACTACCACAACAATGCAATTCTATAGGTAAATAAGAAAAGTTAAAATATATACATCTCAATGCTCAATCTAAGTGATAGCAAAGTTGATCAAAACATTCCAAGTTATGATACATTATTGAAATAAATATATTACTTGACAATTAACTTTGAAATTGCATGTAAGTCATCTTACTCAGCGACAAGTACAAGGAAGCTATATCGATGAATCCGTATAGCTACTTTATAATCAACTAAGAAAATCCTTTGCCTAAATACATGAAGTTTAACATACAAGAATTGTTTGATAAATGGGTTGGTACCTCTTGTATTGCTAGCCAAGAAGGAGTATCCCTTTTGTGAGGCCTTGGGAAGACAGGCTGAGAATGAATTGCCCACAAATCTTCTGGTCTCTAAACAATGATATAATACAAAATTTGCATCAGCTGTAGTTCAAAATTATAGCCATAAAGATAGTGGATTTCATTATTAGATAAAAGATGTAGCAACTGAAAATGAATTGAAGTGTAAAATGTGTAAGTATCAAAGTTGTAAATATTTTACGTTATATTTCAATACATATTTTTGAACCCAATCTAAATGTGATAAATTGTGAAAATATTCAAAGTGATATTTACTTTTAGAAAAATAAATATAATGGGCAACTTATTGGTCAGCTAATTCAGAGCAAAAGAGTACCTTACCAAGTTGGCATCAGGAAGTTCTCGGACAGCCTCATCAACATTTACTGCGGTAGCTTTGACCTGATAAGTAGAGAAAAATGGTGAAGCATCAGCAGTGGAACAGGAGAAAGGTATGGAATAATATCAGTAAAACCACTAACAATATATGCCTCCACATATGGACTGAATCTCTATCAGTGGGAGATAGAGCAACCAAAGCTCCATTACTTTTTAAAGTATTTATTGCTTATCTTGTCCATAATATCAAATGTCCAACACAGCAAGTTGGTTTTCTTTCTAAAATGCAGCATATGTTGAAAATATATAAAAGTTTGTTACATAGCTATCTTTTCTTTCTTCTCCTTTTTTCTGTCATTTAATTGGGCCATATGCTGAATGATTAAAACTCTGAAAAAATACTTTCAATTCCAAACCAACTTCCCATATAATTGCCATTGCTTTGCAAAAGTATTATTGGAACTGGCACATTAGGACAGAATCAGCATCATGATTACTAGAGCACATAAACAATCAAATGACAAATACACACACTTGATTGAAAATGAAAAACAGTTGGAATATAATAGAAAAACAATTACCAGCTTAGAACTTTCTAGCTCTGCTCTCTCTGATAGGCGATTTCGGAGAGGTTCCACATGATCACTCCCATCCAGTTGGACACCAATGAAATATTGAAGTTCACCCTAAAAAAATTTATAGGGGCTCAAAAGAAAGGCCAAAACGAAATATGCAGCAGAATTAGATTTAGATTGAAGGTTGAACCTACAATAAGAATCTCACAGTTACCTTTTGGTCACGCATGGGTTGCAAATGAAATAAATTCCAAAACTTTTTTCCTGCGATTCAAGAAATCATAACAATTAGGAAAAGGACAAATGTAACATAAAAACACCTAAACAAAAGGAACAAGATAAACAGAAAAATAAATTATATACTACATGACTCTTGCAATTAAATGTCGTAGATTTTCTTGTCTTCCAACCAACATGAACCAGTGAAAATAAATCAAGTTAATTGGCACATCAATGTTTATAGCATATTTGCAGCATCAGAAATTCCAAGGCATGTTCTTACCACTCTTGGTATAGTTGATCAACTGTACAGTAATATCTCTTTGTTCTCTAATGGCATCTCGTATCTTTGAGACAGTTGCTTGATCTGTTTCAGGTCCCTGGAGAAAACTACAAAACAGATAAAGCAGATTAGATTTCTATTGTCTTCACCGGTAAAGTTTCTCATACAGATGAACCATATACTAAGATAAGGGATTAGATAGCAACAATGAAAAAGGCATATCGGGAAACCGGACTAAGACTCCAAGTTACCGTAATTGAAAATTATATAACAGACAACAGGAATACAATCCAATATGCTTAAGTTTTATAGCAGGAAGTAAATGACCTTGTCAAGAAAAAGGCATAAATAGAGTGCATTTCCTACCGACAATTTCTTCCCAAAATTTCTTCACGCGTATATTCTGTCAGTTCCAGAAAGCTATCAGATGCAAATATCTGCACAGGAAAGAGTCCAAGGACTACTAATGTCATTTTTGAAATATAATAAGGACCATGCTCAAACCTTATATTTTAATTGGAGTAATTTTTCAGAAGAAGCCATGATGCTTATAGATGCATAGTATATACCATAAAGGCAAATGTACAGTGAATCTCCCTTGGGATTAGCAAGGGAATACTAGTATTAATGACAATTCCACAAAACTGCCCAGCAGAGGAAAAGCAGGCATGTAAAATGAAGTAAGCTCTACTGTCACTTATCATATGCAATGATTAGTAGTCTGCAGCAAGATATCTTTAAAAAGGATCTACATGTCTCAAATGCTCTCTTAATGTAATTGAAATTGAATTGGGCTTACAAAATGCATGGAGAGAGAATGCTACAAGAAAATTGTAGATCACATTCCAGGCAGAACGTTGATATTAGAAAACAATAAATGAACAACTGAACCAACTCTATTCGAGTGAAATCATAATGGTTCTAAGTGGGTACATGAGGTTGTGTAACGTGAGATCCTTGGCTTAGTGCATTCAGGTGGTAGTGCAATATCAATAGAGAGAGGTGGAGATTGAGAGTGAGACTGGAAGATAAGTTGCATGTTCCAAAATAAAATAAAAATTCTTACAATTGGGTTATCAGGAATTCTAGGATCACTAATCACAAAGTTCTTTTCAATGCGTTCCAATGTGGTTGCCAAGTCAATTCCTTGGCGTATATCCCTTTCTCTTTCAGTGCGGTCCCAACTGTCAGAGGACTCTATATCTGTGGTCATCAAAACCTCCGGTTCTATAATAGGTTCTTTTTCATGCATGCCTGCAGAGCTTAGAGACCTTGTTTTGAATCTGCAGAAGAAAGTCAAACATCTCATCAAAATCTGGTAAATGGTCTTTCTGCTAACTCTAAATGGGACTTCTAAATATTGAAAGACAAGGGGAGGACACATAGCACTAAATTCCATGGAATTTAAAGCTAGCCTTCACCTCCCTTCGGTGAAGCAATTGCAGTTTGGATTTAAAAAGAAAATGTACTCACCCCATTGAAGAAGCGAATCCAGATTTTCTTGATATTTTGCCTGCATCATAAGTAGAGCTCATGCGAAATGCATCACCTTTCACATCCGATTGAGGAGTTTTTCGACCGGGTGTATTCATATTTGCAATTGCAGCAGATTTAGGCAGAACATAATCAAGGTTAAGGCTATCCTGCTCCCCATGACTGCTAGCAGTCTCATAACTCACATCCTGGGTGTGAGAACGTGGATGCTTCACAGTTTCGACAACTTCCTTAATGGAGCCTAATGCCTTCTCCTTCTGACGAGCTGATACATGACCAACACAATAAGTTTAGAAATGAAGTAAAACTCGCACAAAATTCCAAAATTTGACCAATTATGCTTACCATCATAGCGGATAAGTGACTTGGGCAACCCATTTGGCCTTAGTTCCTTTTCATTCACCCCTTCTGTGTACTTGCTGACCTCAACCTGCATTCTGCAAAAACAAGAAGTAAACTTTTTGCTAGACTACATTCTCTCCCAAAACAACTCACAAAAACCAAAAAGTTGCAAAATTGTTTTGTCAATATCAATGAAAACAAATGAAATCATACATTATACTTAAACACATAAACATGATATGCAAGCTACCCAATTTCAGAGATTGAGAAATGGAGGACACTGACCCAATAAATTTGATGGTTTTTCCTTGTTCATCTTTGATTGGGGTGATGGTGAGAAGATTCCAGAAAGGAGTTCCATCTTTCTTGTAATTGAAGAGCCTGCCACAGTAGCTTTTCCCATTTTTCACTGCGTCTCGGATTTTCGCCACTTCATCCTGGTCCGTTTCCGGCCCCTGAAGAAATCGGCTGCAGCAACACAAAGATCACAATTTTAGGGCACCAAATTCTTTCCTTTCCTTTCGTTCTCTTCTTCTTCTTCGTGGAGCCACACATTGTGGTTAATCGAAACTCAAGAACAAAATGGAAATTGTGAAAGAAGTTGAATAAATTGGGCGATATTGCTACCAATTGAACTAAACTGAAGATGCGAATCTGTGCCGCAATTTTTCATATCACCCTAGTATTTATAGCCGAGGTTTGGTTAAAGCTGAAACGGCGGCGTTACAGTTCGAAACCACGCGTTTCATAGTGTAATTGTACTAGTGCCATCTCTTTTTTTTTCTTTTGGCCAGTGTTTATTGGGATTTTTACTAAAAATTAAAAAAAAATGTCCACTAGAATTTGAGGACTTTTTGAAGAGAAATAATGTGCTTCGAATGCTTTTGCAATCACTAGTAATAATAGGTAGCACAATTTGACGTGTTTTGTTATCAGACTGTTAATAATATGATGACAGGATATCAAATTATAGCAGTGGTAAAACAGATAAGACAATGATTAGCCTTACCAATTTCTTCCAATGACCTCCTTTGAAGAATAACCAGTCATACCAAAAAACCCACTGCTGGCATACATAATTGGGCAATCAGGTTTTGTGGCATCAGACACAACAAATGTCTGCTGCAGAGTAGACAGAGCTGCCTTCAAGTCATTAGAAACCCTAGGAATGTCACCCCCAAAGTTTGAGTCCTCTGATGACCTTGTTGATTCAAATCTCCCTGATGAGTTTTTGCTTTTATCTCCACCACCACCTGATTTCCTTGACCCTATGCCTTTGAAGCTACCTTCTCCAATATCTGACTTCATAACCATCCCCCACTCTGCTGTTCTTGCTGCTATGCTTGCCTTCTCTGTTATAATATGACTGCTAGAATTAGAACCAAACCCTCCATTTGAATCAGTGGCTTTGATCTTGTTAGGCTCATCTGAGGGCCCAGGTTCAAATGCCATCCACTTGTTGATGGAATCTCTTCTGGCAGCAGCAGAAGTGAAAGAAGTGCTTCCTGATCCACTTTCTGCTTCTGGAATATCAGCATGATTATCTTTTTTAGTGTTCTCTCTCAGGTTGAAAACCTCCATTGGTTTTCTGGTCTGCTTTTCTCCACTTCCCAATTGGTCCTTGGCAATTGAGCTCACAGCAGAAGAAGACTTTGGTGGCTGCCTCGTAGCCTTTCGTTTGTCCATTTTGTAATTCTCTCTTCAGTGGATTGAAGAAAACCACCACCTGCCATCATTTAAATTTTTCACTAGTAGTTGGAAAGTGGTCCACATCAAGTTTGGTACTTGTGCTTGAAAAAAATGTAAACCCACCTTACTTGTGCCTCAATTGAGAATGTGTCATCATTAACATACCACTTAACTCAAAAATCCCATACCCCAAAAAATAAAAATAATAAATAATAAAAAAAATTATAAAAAAAACCAAGAGAATGTTAAATTACATATTTTCTGTTGAAATTATGAGTACCCTGTTCAAAGTTTCAAACTTTAGCTACTGTCCAGAAAAAGTTCACCAAGAATTGCTATTATTAACTGGAAAATGCATTGGAAACTCAAAAGGGTTGGTTTCACTCAATTACCATAAGACAGAGAAACATGATGTGCTAGAGAATTTAGCTACAAAAGAAACAACAGAGGAAAATTTTGCATGAAAGGACCTGCTTGAAGGAATTTGATGTCTCGGAATAGCAAGTTTTCAATGCTTTTTGACAGCAAAGAAACCAGCAAAACCCAACCCTCACAAGTTGGCAAACATGGTAGATTTGATCAGAATCATCAACACTGAATTACATAATCTGTTTCTGCAATTGTTCCCATCTCATCAGTACTGAGACTGCTCTAATTATTTGTTTCTCAGAGCTTTTTCTGTATATGGGACTGGTACATTGCTGTAAAGATAGGAAGAGAGAGAGAGAGAGAGAGATAAAGCTGCTCAGGTTGCTCAATAAATATGGCCTCCCAAACCATATCAATCGAGCATGCACAAAGTGATGAAAGTTGCCTTTCAATCAGTGCCTTCGTTTTTTAGGCTTATTGTGTGTACGAATGTGTAGAGACCATTGAATTTTTGCCCATTTATCCAAACTTTTCTTATGTTTTATGCTTTGTAATTTGTAAATTTCCACATTTGCTTTCCCTTTCCACATTTGCTGAGACCTCAATCAATGCAGATGGAACAAGTTAGAAGAGTCATGGGGCCACAAACAACCAGCAAGTGAAGTACTATTCTCGAGGATATATAGATTTCGCCATCACTTTTAAATTTTGTTTTGTAGTTTTGGTGATGTACAAATGTGTGCATTATAGAATGCCTACGCCAACTAGCCTAGGACCACAGTATAAATACGGGCTTGTAAGCTTCCACGCAGGTACAAAACTACGTATTCGAGTCCTCATAAGGAACCGGATTAGCCGATAAAATTTTCATTTTCGGAGATGAAGATGAACTAAAACTCATATTAACAACCTATTAATTATTTTGATTGCAAATTTTCATTCCAAGGGGGTTGCTCCAATTCATACTACTGTTCATCATCATGATCCCAGCTATTGCTATTGGTGTTGTCTACACACAGTTTGTCAAAGGCTCACATTAAATTCTCACCTTGTCTGGTGTCAAAGAAAGAAAAATATATTAATGCTTTCTTTTGACTTTTTGGTTTTGATTGTTATAGTTTAATTTTTGTTTGATTTTAATTAAACCAAATACAGTTGATTAGATTTTAGTTTAAAAGATAACTAGAGGTTAGTTCTATTTTATTATAGCTCAATGCTTAAAATGTCAACTTTGATATCAGTTATCACATGCTTGCCTGTGTTCCATGATTCTACTGCTACTTATGAGCTCTTTGATTCGAGATTATGAATGAAATTCGGTTTCTACGAAAATATGCGATATAATATGAATGGATCATAACATCACGAATTTTGACTGAATTTTACACCTTTTGTGACCACCTCACCTCAGATGCATTTCATTTACCCAAAAATGAAAAAGATAAAAGAGACATGAGACAGATCTCCACAAATCTCTCTCCAATGTCATTTCCATCAAATCTGGTCGTTCCTTATGTGAAGATCAAACAAGAAGCAGAATTCATGTAGTGATGCTTACAAGCATTACATACGCCCAGAAAAGTCCATGTCTCTATGGGGCAGTCAAGGACACGTGCCAACACTTGCAGCCGTATGAGCACTCAAAGATCACGTGAACACGTATCATTATGTCGGTCTAGAGCTACCAACGTTTTTGTGGTGGTGGCTGTGAGTGGTCTCTCATCCACCAAAACCCAGTTGGGGTCCAAGAAAAGGAATCTCTAGAAAAATGAATACAAGCTTTTATTTCTCCCCTCGCTCTCAAGTAACTATTTTTTTCATTTTTTTTCTTTTCTAAAATTTTGCAAAGGTCCCTACAACACAGAGGCCCAAAATACAGAAACAAACTAAAGCCCAAAATAAAGGAGAGAAAAAAATTTGTCAAGACCAAGTTTTTATTTTCTACTTATTTTTGGAATTCAAACTTAATACCTCTTCATCTACATGAAGTGAGAAAATTCTCAAGATAGTAAGCGTTACACACAATTTGGAATCGACTAGAGTGAGAAAGTTCTCAAAACTTTATTGATAAAGTATTGATAACATGAACTCGAACTTTGCCGAAACACGATATTTGAGAGAGCGTAACTAGACTGATTGAGTAAGATGACCCTGCTCCACCAAAGAGGTAATACAATCATCAAACATCTCTTGGATAGTCTTGAACTTGAACCCTAGACTCTTCAACTTCGAGGTGTCAAAATCATACCTTGGCCTGCCTAGTTGCTCAAACCTGAAAATTCCCATGTACACATTAAACTTAATAACAGTTAGTAATCTTCTGTTTATCATAAATTTATTTTGAATCTTTTACTTAATTTAATTCCCATGTAGACTAGCTAGCTATCTATTTGTTGTTTATACTACTTATATCTGGGGGAAAAAAATCAAACCTTTTGGGGATAGGTAAGGAAGGATATTGCTTGGATAACAAGGAAGCCAACTCATTGTTGTCCAAAACTATTGAGCTGCAAAGGTATCGACCATGAGCACTTTCATGCTCATAAACTGAGATGTGGCAAAGTGCAACATCATCAATGTGAACATATCCCATCCTTCCATGCCACTTGAACTTCTCTGTTTCCCCTGCTTAATTGTTCAAACAAATCGCCGCTTAACAATCGTATAAACGAAATTAGTAGTTAAACCAAGAATGAGTACCTTTAAGCAGGCCAAGTACGTCTGATGCAGTAGAACATAAATCTGGTGGCAGACAAGGTCCGATCACGAACGAGGGCAGAACAGTTACCAAATCAATCCCATTTTCTTTGCAGAAATCCCATGCCGCCTTCTCAGCTAAAATTTTCGATAAAGGGTACCAAATCTTTTGTAAAAGGTAGGTTAATCAGTCACATGGATTATATATAATGTACATACCATAAAAAAAAAAAATATAAAGGGTACCAAATCTTTTGTAAAAGGTAGGTTAATCAGTCACATGGATTATATATAATGTACATACCATAAAAAAAATATGGAGCTTAAGTAATGTTCTAGCATAGATCATTATAGTTCTGCATGGCTTTGCTTTGCAGCTGTTAGAATTAGATACAAAAAGAGCAGCATTCAAAGTTACTTTGAATTCACAAAGGCCATAGGATTTGATGTGAATTTGGTGATAATCATGACAGAATTTAAACTTCAACAAGGACAGAATGCTACCTGAAGTGTCTCGCAGAGTTCGACGGAGCTCCACGATGACTCATCCAACGGTATATTGGAGTCGAAATCCTCATCTGGCCTCACCCGTACAACTGAAGAAGATGAGGTGAGAACCAAGCGCCTTAGAGACGGATTTTTCTTGCATGAACGTAGCACATTCAATGTACCCTCAACAGCTGGTTCCAGGATTTCTGTCTGTGCACAGATGACACATAATAGTTACAACAATACTCAATTTGTGTGAGTGGTATTAATTTTAGGTCAATTGTGATCCCTTGCCGGATATTTTGTATGCAATTTTGCTAGAATATGAACAAATGATAAGGTGGATCTTTTGTTTGAATATATGATCCACATTGAGAATTTGGCAACATGGCATCCCAAATATATGACAAGAAAAAGTTACCCTTAATTTTAAGGACATATAATATATTCAAACATGCCTTTGGATCAGATGAAGGTTTCAGTACAGGGGAAGCAGAGTGGAAGACACCATGGCACCCCAAGATTGCATCATCAAAGCTGCCTTCTTCCATTAAATCAGCCTTCACCAATCTGAGCCTTTCCCTAGCTCCATCCAGCCTCCACAAATGCGCCAATTTCTTCTGGTTTCCTTTGAATGCATGTATAAACCAGATGACCATAGTCTTATAAAA